CTTAGGTTACAGAGTAAGAGTTGACAATGAAGTGAGCATGAACCCTCTTGTTGATTATCATTAGCAGAGACAGATAAGAGAGGCGAGGAAGTTAAGAGTATCTGATGAACCAGAGAGGAGCGTCCATATACACATTAGAACAAACTATGGAACCAGGTCCAGGAAATTTAGAAATGGAGCTCAATTCCAGGTAAGAGACAACATTAAGTTTCCAGGTTTCATTAGAACTGTAAGTCAACTTAAGACTCGCTCCCTAATAATACGAGGATAACATTAATTGTTCTGTTCTGTTTTTGCTGTTCCTAAGATGGATTTGAGAGAAGGTTTATGTTTGCTTTTCATGATATAGATTTGAACATTTTTGTTTAAAACGCGATGGAGTGAGAGCAGTATTGTTTGTTCAAAAACATGTTTAAAGCTGCTTCTTGATAGCATTAAGGTAAGCACAAGCGCAAGCACAAACACCCACAATTGCTCTTATTTCACCGTGAAAACAGCTCGACGCAGGCCTAGTTATGCTACCAGGTGCGTTTGTGTTCACTGACACAAGAGTCCTGTGCTTAATTGTGCTCTTATGCTTGTGCTTGTAATTGCATCGCCAGTGAATCCAGGGCCCAAGACTCCAGTTTGCAAAAGAGTAGAAAACGGTTTCATTACGTCTTCTTAAGACATTATGACAAACTAAAATCCCAGAAACAAAGTCCTCAGCTCCACAGAATAACACCAACGTTCATTTAGTCGTCACAGTCTTTCGCCATGTGTCTAATGCTTCCACAATTTATGGATTTCTTATAATTTTATGACAGGAGGTATACAACTAGGCTGGTGCTATGGAAGACATGCCCTTGCGTTTTATGTTACACCGGTGTGAAACATTACTTAACCACGATGAGAGGGTTGGCCCTTTGGACGAGACTCTCGACCTCACGGACAGAGTAAGTAGAGGCAGAAGTCTGTGTAGCCTCATCTAAACTGGAGTTATTTTATGGTCAAATAACTGAGCCTCGATTTCGCAAATACAGTAGATCTGCACGAAAAAGTGGACTATTCTTAATTCTATTTACGATCTCTTCGTAACCCTGCCCCTCTGCTTACTTCGACAGTAGGCGTATTTTAAGCAGAAGCATTTTTAGTGACCGACGGGAACTGGAAGTGGATGTTTTAAATTCTTAGACCACCCTGTTACCAACATTTTTGGGTAAATAGCCACAATAAGAGTAAACATCCTTAACAATAACAATAATAACGGCGTAGTGTCAAGACAAAATAGAAAGGAAAATGACACACCGGTTGCGCTCTGTCGCTCAAAAATGCTTCTGCTGAAGCTCCCAATTGTGAAAAGCCGAAAAGGTGATTTTGGCGATCATCAAGCACTTTATTCATGTGGGAAGCAATCTCAATCTCTCTCTCAGGAATAACATGAGGCGGATAAAGGAACAAACAATGTTTTTTAGATCAAACACGCGAAACCACTGAAATGCAATGATAAGAGAGACGGCTGAACAGCAAAACGTTCAATTCCAATATGATGCTGTAAGATTCAAAAGCAGAGCAAATATAACTGACATATATGAACTTATTTTGGTGATTGTTCTCCAAATTTTTCTATGCAGGACGAAGAGGAAGTGACTTCACCTTTTCCCTCTGAGGTTAGAAAGAACACAATAATGTATGGTTCGATTCTACCTGTAACCAATAGACCACCATTTAAGGGGAAAACTGCAGAATCCAGGGGATGTGTCTGGAGGGGTGGTAACAGGTTGACTTGAACTATGCATAATCTGCGCATAATTCGTAAACTTAGAATGTATTGTGTTCTGTCAACAACAAAAGCACAGTTAATATAAAAAGCAATGAAATGGACCGTTACAGTACAAAGGTAGAAAAATAAAAAAAGATAAATATTTAAAAGTAGTAAAACATAATTCAACAAAGAAGTATTAGAACCTTTAAGAAAGGCATCCCTGAGACAGATGGACACACAGAAGGGGATTTTTCTCATTGTTGAACAGAGGTTTTGTCTACACCTATAGAGTAAAGACAGTTAGGCATACAAACGTAGTAGTGTCAATGTTCAGTTTACATGTGTAGTCCACAAACGCCCATGCACAGTTTCCCCACTATATATTTCGAGTTGAGGGATGGCTGGCTAGGGGTAGTGATCCTCTAGCTGTTATGAATTGGTGGTTAATCTTATGAACCCAGTATAACAAGAGAATTGAAACAAGGTTTCTCGACCTAAATGTTAAAGATTAGAGAAAAAGAAACATCTCAGTAAGACTGACATCCCAGTCAAGCCAGGACACTTGGGACCAGGCCTTTCATGAGCCAGGATACTTGGGACCAGGCTATTGGGACAACAGACAACAGACTTCCTAATTGAGCCAGAACACTTGGGAACAGGCATTTGGGACCACATACGAAGCCTTAAATGTGTCAGCCTACTGGAGTACACACTTTTCGTGAGCCAAGATTCTTGATTAGGATTTGTACACTTAATTTGGGATAAAAATGGTAACTACAGGCATAGAATTAAAATAAAGAGTAAGTAAGGGCCACCGATACAGGACCAGGGTAAAACCCGAGACCCTCTACAAAATAAAACTAACAAACAAAAACCTGGTCAAATTGTAATCGGTTCTATCTTAAAAAAAAAAAGAAAAGCCTATTTGAAATTGGCTCAAGAAAACGGGAACTGTATCCCCCAAAGAACAATTGGCTGAAAACAAGGGACAAGAAAAAATAAGAAAAGAAATCCCCTATGACAAATGAAACCTCTGTAATTGAGTCAGGATGCTAGGACCCTAAGGTTCTTAGGAACTTTTACCCAGATGACAGACTTGCAACAGACTTCTCCATCGAACCATGACACTTGGGACCAGGTTCTTGAGAAGTTCAACCCAGACAACAGACTTCTCAATTGAGCCAGGACACTTGGGACCAAGTTCTTGAGAAGTTCATCCTCGACAACAGAGTTCCAAATGTAAAATGTAAAAAGCCGTGGGAAGTGAATAAGAATAGACCCTTGTCCTATTTTCGGTAATGAACTGCAACTAGCTTGGTGCCAAGACTTAAGTGGATAATCCTCGACAAATTTTCATGCAATTTAAGGCACCATTAGTAAGTTGTTTCGCCCACTATTTGACATCTCAGGGAAGTATTCTACCCATGAATGACAACAGTTGCCCACAGAGGGACATGCTCGTTGTACTTTTCAGGTGTCTTTCAAGGGCAATTTTCCATACGGCAGTAAAAGCCTGTCAGATACTTTAGAAGGTAAGGATACCTATTGTATTATCAACATTAAACAACATTTGGCACAAGAAAACACAATTAGGACTATGCACGAAAAAAATTTGGGCCGCCATATTGGCCGTACACAGTCTGAACTCGAGAGACTGGAAATAAGGTTTTTGAAAGCTCCCCAGGCTCCGGGGGTTATGTGGGGCGCCTGGCATCAAATTTTCTGGCTTCTTCGTTGCTTGATCTCTCGTTGGATACCAAATTTACCGTGGTTTAGCTGTAGACAATTCTGTGCTTTTGTAGTCAACTGCAATCAATACTGAAAAGGACTACAGCTTAAGGGTTTTTGGCAATGTTTGGCGTCAAAGAATGTAGACGAGTTCCTAGTTTCTGAGCATAGTGAAGCTACAATAGGAAGAATGTTACCAAGGTAAGAATTTGTTGTTTTCCAAATTTTGGATTTGCGCCCGCGTTTTCGGCAAAGTTGTTATATGCAGACCTCATTTTTTTACTTTTGCCTTTCAGCTTCCATGCGTGGTGTGAGTTGATAGGAAATGATGGCACGTAGAATGAGTTTTTATACACGATTCCCTATAGGTAAATATAGGGCAGCAAAGAGATTGGAGCAAGATGAGCTTGTGAAAAAGATGATAGAAACAAACACCGACCTGAGCAGGAAGCGGATAAAACTAAAACGTCCTCAAGATAGGGTAAGACAGCGTTATAGCCAAGCTTGATTTCATAAATTAAAATCGTGTGTAGCTGTTGCCAGCATTTATTTACTTATATGTTATGGTGTAATTTTGATTTTCCTTTGTTTCAATTATGGTCATTAGCATTTAATAACATGGAGAATGACAATATACCTATAGCAATTCAGGAGACAGGGTGATCATAGGTGGGAAGTGCTGATTTATTTATGTATGTATACTCACATGTGTACTTATCATATAGGTGAGTTCTATGGATAGAAGTACAAGTGAGTTAAACAACAAGGTATGTGACTTGCATCAACAAGAACAACTCTTAATTATACCCATAAGAGACTGCCCATTACTTACAGGGAGGAGGGCTGGTGCAACAGTCGGTATGTCATGTTTGGTTTTTCCTCAGAACCCGTATTTGTAAGGTAAAGATTTTTGCCCCCCCCCCATCCCCATGTCTCCCCAGCTACATATATTTGATACTGTGTATACGATTAAATATACAATGTACCTGAGGACGGTAGGACTGATGATTCCAAATATTGGGCCAGTTTTTTTAAATAAATATTAATTGGGTTGTTTACTGATATTTTGGTGACCCCTTTAAGTTGAATTGAGTCATTTACTTTATTAGATTGCAAAGAAGAAATCCAAGAAAGAAAATATACTTCCCTTTTCCCTTGTTGAGAAGAGACTACAATCTCCAACAACCCTCTCCGAGAAAGGTGACATAAGTGGCCCAAAAAGAACTTCCAACAGAAAGAAAGATGAGACTAGACAGGCAGCTATGGAAATCCATGGAGGAAGCCCAAACAACATGAAGCCAGCCTATGATGGGCTTTTTGCAACTGTTATAGCAGGTGCTCCTGTAGATCAGCTCAGGAAGATGTGTTCTGTTTTCCCTGTTTTGAAAGAGTTATTCCTAATATTGTAAATGAAAATGTAAAGGAATTTGAAAGCAGTGATGTTAATTTTGTCAGAAGTGTAAATGTATTGTATAAAGATGGTCGTGTCAGCAAAGCTAAGTATAACACCATCAGGTCATCTTTGAGTATGACCAGCAATGATGACAATACAGGGAAAAAACATGTTAAATTTATGAAGACTTGCCTAATTCCCAAACTCATGCCTTACAAGGAATTGATGGCTAAGGTAAATGCCATTAACATTGGCACCTTACATGATGTGAGAGAAACCCTGTGTGATGGTTTGGATGATTCAGACAAAGTAGATGGGAAGTATAGTAATCTCACTGAATTGCTTTTGAGACTAGCTCAGTTCTACTTAGAAGTTCATAAGCACCGTGTTGATAAACTTAACTGGTTTGGCAAGGGGGTGGGATCTTTTAAGGTTGCTATAGGGGGGGACGGGGCCCCCTTTGGCAAAGATGACACAGCCTTAAGCTGGTTAGTGAGCTTTCTTAATTGTGGTCCCAGAATTTGTAGCCACAAAGAAAATTTTCTTTTACGAGGAGCAAACTGTAAAGAGGATTGTGAACCCATCAGACGCTATGTGTGTAAGTAAGCTAACGAAATGAATGAAGTAGAGAAGAAAACCTTCCCCTGTAAATGTTGATGGCAAGGACATCACAGTATCATTCTCTTTTGAAATGTTCCCGAACAACATGAAATACTTCGCTATTCTCGCCGGTGAACTTTCCAATTCTGCAAAATATTTCTCGTCATTTGCTAACACCAACAAAGATGATATTGGTGATGTTACTGCCACTTTTGGGGTTAAAACCTCAAACAAATGGCAACCTTGGGGTTATGCACAGAGAATTGCAGTAGCAGGTGCTGTAGCTAAAAAGAAAGAAGAACTTGGCAGTTCTGGTTCGCACCTCAAGCCAGCTACCATTAGACAGAAGGTAACCTCATTCATTGCACAAAAAAAGTCTCGACAGGAATTCCTCCCCTTGCTAGGTAAAGCAATTGACAAAGTTAAGGTGGAACCCTTGCATGTCAAAAACAATGGATGGCAAAAGTGGCATTCAACGGTCTTGAAATATGTGTTGGCACGTACCAATGTAAGTAGCTGTGAGAGTGTCAATGACACTCCTGCCTCAAGCTGCTTTAAATGGTATTACGAAACAGTAAGGTTTACCCTAAAGGCCGGAAGACTTGCTAAAAAGGTGAGGAAGTGGTTCTGTGACGGCCGTTTGAAAAACAAGGACCTTGAGTACAGGTTCATAGGGAAAGAATCCTTGATAATGTGTCATCAATTCATGACATTGCTTTCTGCTCTTGAACTAGAAGATGACCAACCAGTTCATAATTTTGCTTTGCATGTGTGTGCTACTATTGCTGTGAACCTAAGGGACTCTGTGTCTATATTCAGTAGAATTAAAGTGACAGACAAAGAGGTCACAAGTTTAACAGGTGTTACACGCAATTACTTTAGGGCATGTGCACTCTTTTCATCAGTCTCTCCAACTACTTGGACTATTGGCCATTGTGTGGCAGCTCACACAAAACAAATTAAACAGGAGCTTGGTGTGGGGCTTGGGGTCAACACAATGGAGGGCAGAGAATCTAAACATGTCTCTCTCGCCAGGTTTGCACGAAACACTCACCATTCAACGCCTTGGGTACAGGTATTCAGACATGAATACATCTCCCTTATCTGGCTTAGGGAAAATAGGAGTGATTTGGTTAAACACACACCCACCAGGAATAAGTATATCCCTGCACGATGCTTCACTGTCACATTTTGTCATTGTGGCAATCAGAAACCCCGTGGGGAGGTTAAATGTACTTTCTGCAGTCATCCCATACAGCAGACTATTGATGATTGTATAAAGCAAGGTAAACTGACTGCTCAGGCTAAGAGTTTAGCAGCTAATGCCAGGGGTCTAATATAAACATAAAAGTTTTGATACTTACTTATCAAACAGTTTTGATACTTGTTTAGAATAAAGTTAAGTCAACTTATTTATTGTTCCCTATTTACTGTTGGGCAATTGTCAACTGTTGAAACTTGAACATTCGTTCACACAAATTATGAACGTTACATATTTTGCACATTTAGACTAAGAAAAGAAACTTATTTATTGTTCCCTGTTTATTGTTGGGCAATTGCCAATTGTTCAAACTTTAACATTTTTTTGTTAACACTGAAATTATGAATGTTATATATTTTACACATTAAGACTAAGGAAATAAACTTATTATTGTTTCCACAATTTAAACTGTTGAGAAAATGTATTTTGCAGTGATGCTAGAGCAGAAAATAAACAATCAATGAAAAAGTTGCTCGAGTAATTGTGTTTTCTAAATATGTTGGTGCCAGCCATATTCATTCCATACTCCATAAAAGAAATCAAATGTGATCTCAGATGTACAATTAAAAGACACACCAAATTCCTTTTCCTCATTGATTATAGCTTGCACTTTCTTTTTACCACTTGCCAATCTCTTAAGGAATTTTTCTTCCTTGATTTCGCAATCCATAATCTCACAAAACAGACGTCGCACCTTCGTTTCCCTGGTAAAAACCATTACAATGCGCTTGCTTGTACTGTGTGTGGTAACCCCGTAAGAGCTTCTGGTAGCAATTTGTTGAACCATGCCAAATAGATTCCTGCTGAGATTTTCCAAAACAATAACTCTCCATGGATTTTTCACTCCACACCTTGGGATCATTCGTCGCATGAATGTTTTATACCATCTTTTTGAAATACTTGTCAGCATGGGAAATGCTGCCACGAGCATGTGCTTGTGTTGTTGTCGAATACCTCCAAAATGCCTTTTCGAAACTGAAGACAACCACATTTTTAACTCACGGAAAGCCTCATTCGTTCGGGAACTTTCCATTCCTGCTCATCTTGAGCCAGCTGAAGGGCAGAGAGGACAGTCGTTTCAAATTTGTTTACAGTTGCGTCCGCTATTTTTAATTTTGAGAAAGCCTACTAATGACACCGCTGAACCCTTGACCTCGCGGGAAAGAAGTGGCCTGATCGTGCCTCAAAAATTCCCAGCATGTAATGTGGTAGTTTGTTTCTTTTTTTTTATTAAATCAACTGTTAAATTGAAAACAATTTCAGCTATTCAAGAATAAGTTATATCATCCTCAAATCATTCGCCCTATGACTGCACAGCATTCTAAAATTACAAACAAATGGATACAGTGTCTTGGAGGAAAAAAAAGCAAAGTACAACTGAAGTTTAACACAAGAAATATATGTCAATTGCAGTGCCTCCACGAAACTCGGCACAGGTTAGCCTTGCACACAGATGTCGTAAGGGCTGGTTCACTTGCTTCTCCCCCACTAATGAATGCTCATGCGAAAAACCAATGAACAGCAACTTGTTGCATCATACAGCGCTAATCACCAGCTGCAAAAGATATGGATAGGCAAAGTGACTCAATCTGAAGTTTTCTGGTTTATTTTGTTTTTAAATTTTAACGACAATGTCATGGTAAAAGTCCCATTAAAACGAAAAAAATTGGTCCGTTGACTGGTCCATTTCGGTGAACGGGAGTGGCTGCCTGAACAGATGAGATGTTAATGGGAGAGAAACTCGTGACAAAACCCTAAAGCACGTCTTCGTGGGAGGGAGGCTAGGCGCAGGTGCACCGCAAATCATTCTAGTTTGTGATGCGCCACCTAATTTATCAAGCAGCATATCTTTTAGGAAATTAAAGATTAAAGAGTGCTTATTTTCAATGACAGATGAAATGGAGGACCCAGAAGAGGAGATAACGGAAGTGGCACAAAAGAGAAAAAGAACAACAAAAGATAAAAGGATGACTGCTTCGCGTGAAAAAAAGAAAAAAGAACAAAATTTTCTTCTTTTCAGATATCTTCTACTGCTCTACAATCTCCAACATTTCCCAAGGTTTTTAAAATATTTTCAGAACATTTTAAGCAAATTTAATTCCATTTTTATCTGTCAAATACACAATATCAATAGTCCCCTTTTTGTAGACACTAGTAACTCTACTCGTACATCTTGAGTAATAGAAACAAGAATAAAAATAGTATATCTTATTGCGTTGTTTTCACATGATAAGAAACTCCCCAGCGATCATCCCAGTTTTACTTCTTGGTTTAACTATAACTTAGATTATTGCCCAGATAAGGATTATTAAACTAGTGTACTGTCGGGGAAAGCCAGTGATCGTAGAGAGACTGATTGAGAAGACCGGCTCACCCTCCATATGAAGGAAACAACATTCATACCTTGCAAGGCTCTATAAACAGGAAGTGGTTTATTGGTAAAGGCCAGCAAAGTCGAGGGAAACCTTAACATAACTTTTATAGAATAGCTCCCAATCTCTAATGTAGGAAAAATTGTAAAAAATGTGATTCCGGTTAAAGTTTTCTTTTCACAGTCACTTGAATCATGAAAATGATGGTTGAGCAATTTGAATTCTATTTTTATCTGCGTCCTCCACATTCGATGAAATAGGGAGATAGTTTTACACCTCTAGTGTTGAATAATGATGATAAAGGTTAACGTCAGTATTTTTAACTGAGGAGGAAAAAGACTCCTCTTCTCTATACAGAACATTGTAAACACAAAAAAAGACATCATGTGCTTGGTTAAATAAGTCAAGAATAGCATATGACTACAAGGTTGAACAAAAATGGGCTGTTGCATTTAATATCCGTACACCCCCCCCGGTTGAGCACTTACCTTTTCTTCCTAATCTTGCTAATAGAAATATGACTATTAACTTTGACATAGCAAAGAACAACCTACTTAAGAGTTAAAAATTTGAGTCACCTCACAATATTTTCTGATGATTCCCCAGCAGAATGGTGTGACCCATGTAAAAATCATGGGAATTATCCCAGACGACCCCAGAAATCTTATCTACACTCAATCCTTCTGTTGCCATTCCCCTTACAAGTGAAAAACATATCACATTATTTCCCTTCCCTGATATTTTGAAGCCAGTGCATGGTTATTTTTTTTCAGAGGGTATTCTTGTGACAAATTACTTTTTGGGGGATTTACCCTCTCCCAGCAAATACCTTTCCAATGGTCTAATCCCTCAGAGTTTTTGAACGAGTCTCTACGAACACAAAAAATCAAGTTTCGCTTTTTGCCCTAGGTTTTTGAGAAAAGTAAAGTCTCGTTTTAGGGCTCTCGCTTTAGGCCCCATTTCTCGTTTCTGAAACAAGTCATCGAGACAGGTAGGAACGAGTCTTGATTGCACGTTTTTGATTGGACTGGCGAATACATAATCGAGAGGCCTTAACATCAAGACGATTTTTATAAGCAAAATTAACCAAAGAAGGCAGTTTCTTTTGGGGAAATATACGACTTAATAACATTTTAAGTTACATGTACAAGAGAGGTACATGCAGATTAGCAGTTTTAAGCTTACGTCTTAATTCAGAACTTATCTGTTACTGCTTTTGATTAATTTCCAGAAGAAAAGCTGTTACTAATGCAACAATAGAAGAGTGGCCTGGTAATAATCTCCCTGTCTTCAAAAATGATCCTGCTGCTACTAAGAGCTTGAAACCTTGGTCTCCACAGTGGAAGAGACGTGCAGTTTTGAACCGGCAGGCTTTAATGGGAAGGAATCCATCAGCATATCCCGGACATTCTGAATGAAAGACGTCGTAGAATTCGCAAGGGACATGACTACACAAAGGTTATTTTCATTTTATTTGACTCAGCGTGAAGACACATACATGTACACAAGGAATCAACATCCAGGGCTGAATGACAGTAATCATGTAAACGGATTTAACATTTGAAAAAACAATTTAAATTTCGGATTGAACCAAACACAAACTCCTGTATTTTAATGTTTTGTGATATCGATGTGTATTTACCCCTCAACTAGAACACCTGGCCTATATTCAAGTATATGTCACAAACACTGCACTAGGGTTTAGATAAAATGACAATCCAAAGGCTGGGTTTCACGATCATCTGAGCCTTTGAAAATCAACACTAAAGTTGTGGCGGTGTCCAGCACTTTCTTGACATCTTAAATGAAGACATGGTGGCAGTTTAAATATACCTCAACTGACTGTACTCAAGCACTGGATAATGCATAATATATAGATTTAGCCACAGCTAAAAGTGAAGCTCCCATGGATAAATTTATAACTTAAATCAAACAATAACTTTGTATTCCACAAATCAGTTAACTTAAGGGCACATTCATGTGACTGTTGAGGGAAAAGCGAAGTGATTTTGGAGTGAAAAAAATCTTGTATCGAGTTGATATAGCCTTATATGTACACCCAAAAAATAGTCTTCGGTCACATTTAAGAGCAATGATGGCTCTTGATCACAGTAGATAAGGCGTGGAAAACAAATCAGGCCGAATTTTTTGCGTTTGACAAGTTTACAAATTCTTGCCAATAAATCTGGGTGCGTGCAAACCAATCTTTTATTTTTTTATGCGCCACATCTGAGGAGAAAGAGTACTATGACGCACTGTTTTTATTATACAGACCTCGTACAAAACACAGTATTTCACAATTTTTCAAGACAAATTGCATTCATTCAATATTCAGGACCATCGAAGCACACATGGACTTTTAATTAGCAAAACCGTTCAAAACATTTCCAAAATCACCTATACGGCCAGCCGGTTCTAACTTTAAACAAGTGCCAAATTTGTGAAGAAATTTTAAAAGAGTTACGCTTCAACATGATAAGGAATTTATTGAGTCTATTTTTTATTAATGGCTTTATAACGATGTGTAATCTTAAAAACTGTTTCATATACGCTTGGCATTTTGAGTATTCCTGCAATACACAATCTAGATTAACAAATTTGTTTTTTGCTACGTTGCGCCAAATTGCGCGGTTGTGGCAAGCTTTATTATTGTGTGACAATGTTTGCGTTAATTGATTTGACTCAAGTTGAAAAATTTTTGGTCAACCA